AAAAACAAATTCATTATTTCTAATAGAATGATTATCATGATCTATTATTCTTTCCAAGCAAAACAAAAACGAACTTTATTTATTTGTATTAATGATTTATTAATTACGTACGATGACTTACATTTCAACTCTACTAAATTCTTTTTTTGAAGTCCACTAATTCAAATATAAGATATAAAGATAGTTGAAAAAGAAACATATATCAACAGTTATTCTATGATAAATTAAGTAATAAAGAAAACCAAAAAGAAAACACCTCAGTGTCAAAAGAAGAAATCTGAAACAAGTCAAAATTTGGAACGATGTTAACTTTGCAAAAATTTAAATGAACTTTTCACTTTTTTCTCTCTTATTTTATCCTCTCTCCTTTCTCTCTTGATTTCAGTCCATCCATTACGTGGGAGTTCTATTGATATTCATCCGAATGCTCGATGGCAACAAAATGGTATCACTGTAGCTGGAGGAAATCAACAAAGCAATGGAATCAATCAACTCATAAACCCATTGGGTTTGTATGTTGATGATGATCAAACAATCTATGTTGCTGAATGGTCGAATCATCGTATTGTGGAATGGAAACGAGATGCAACGAGTGGCCAAGTGGTTGCCGGTGGAAATGAACAAGGAAGTGGAGATCATCAATTGTCTTACCCAGAAGATCTGATTATCGACAAAGAGAGAGATAGTCTCATCATATGCGATCGTTCGAATAGAAGATTGGTTCGATGGCCTCGTCGAAATGGGACAAGTGGAGAAACAATCATCTCCAACATCGATTGTGTAGGTTTGACAATGGACGAAAATGGATCTCTCTATGTCACTGACTTTGGAAAAAATGAAGTAAGACGATATCGAAGAGGAGAATCTCAAGGAACAGTGGTTGCAGGTGGCAATGGATATGGAAATCGTCTCGATCAACTCTTTTACCCACGATACGTATTCGTCGATCGAGATCATTCAGTGTACGTATCTGATTGGGGAAATCATCGTGTGATGAAATGGATGGAAGGTGCAAAACAAGGCATTGTCGTGGCTGGTGGTCAAGGACAAGGAAATGGTCTTACACAATTGTCATCTCCTCAAGGAGTCGTTGTCGATCAGTTGGGCACTGTCTATGTGGCTGATCGATGGAATGATCGAATCATGCGTTGGCCTAAAGGAGCCACACAGGGAAGTGTCATTGTTGGTGGAAACGGTAGAGAAGAACAATCGAACCAATTCAATCAGCCCTTCGGTTTGTCATTCGATCGACACGGTAATCTCTATGTCGCCGATTTCGGAAATCATCGAGTTCAAAAATTCGAACTGCAATCGAACCCAAATTGAACAACGAAAACTAGAAATGACATTCACCATTCATAACTGACTCACCTAATCAATAACCTCACTAACTAATTACCAGTGTCTCTAATTATATTATCATTAAAATAAAATAAAATTAATGCTACTTATATAAAACCAACCGAAAAAAAAACACATACAAATACCAATTCTACTATAGGAAACCTTAAACGAACAAAAAAAAAGGGAAACAACAAGAAACAAGGCAAACACCTGGCTGACTCCCTCAAACCGGAAACCTTGAATTCCCCCAAAGATTCGAAGGATTCCATGATACCATACAATATCTGGTATTGAGAATATTGTAAATAATGATGAATTCTATTAGATTCCAAGGATTCCAAAAGGTTTTGAAGTGGGAAGGTATGTAAACCTTGATCTCGAGAAAACCCCTTTTAGTCAACATAGGGCTTTGGGAGGACACCACAGATTCCAAGGATTCCATGATACGATACAATATCTGGTATTGAGAATATTCTAGATCATGATGAATTCTATTAGATTCCAAGGATTCCAAAAGATTTTGAAGTGGGAAGGGATGCAAACCTGGATCTCGAGAAAACTCCTTTTAGTCACCATTGGGCTTTGGGAGGGGACCAAGGATTCCAAGGATTGCATGACATGAAGCAATGCCTGGTATTCAGAATATTGTTGATCATGATGAATTTAATCAGATTCCAAGGATTCGAAAAGAGCTTGAACGGGGAGCCTGTGCAAATATAGACCTCGAGAAAACCGCTATTAGCGACCACAGGGTATTCATAGTGAAGCTCGGATTCCAAGTGTTTCATGCCATGAAACAATGTCTGGTATTCAGAATATTGTAGATCATGATGGGTTTTACGAGTTTCCCAGGATTCGAAAAGATGGTTACCTTGAAGCCTGTGGAAACGTAGATCTGCATAAAGCCCTTTTGGGCAGATTAGGATATTCAGCGTGAAGGAAGTATCCCAAGGTTTTCACGACATGAGACAATGCCTGGTTTTCAGAATATTGTAGATCATGATGGATTCTATCAGATTCCAAGGATTTCGAAAGATCTTGAACTGGGAACCGGTGAAAATCTGGCCATCGTAACACCGCTTTTAGGCACAATAGGACTTTCCTGGGGCAGAAAGGAGTTCAAAGGTTCCATGACATAAAACAATGTCTGACATGGACAGAGGTGTTGCTCATGATGTACAATATATGACTAGAGAGAACCCGTGCAGACTGCACGGCTGTTTTGTCCTTTAACGCATGACCTCAGACATTTAACTTTTCATCCGGTAAAATACATACAGATACTCGATATTATGTACATAGATAGATAGCCCTACGGCCTCATACTCTCAAATCACACATATTTTTATAGCCCATGTAGCCTTCGGCCTTATAGTCTTATCTCCCTATTGCCTTACTGCCTTCAGGGCCTATGGGTATCACAATATAATAGCCCTTGATGGCCTGTCAGTACCCCGCTAGTATAGCCCTTGAGGACCTATGAGTAGCCCATAGGATAGCCCTTGGGAACCAATGGCTACCTCCATATAATAGACCTTGGAGAACTTTTGAGTACCCCCATAGGATAGCCCTTAGCGACCTATAGGTACCCCCATAGGATAGCACTTGGGGATCTATGGGTACCCCGATAGAATAGCCCTGGAGGACTTATGGGTACCCCCATCGGATAGCCCTTGAGGACCTATAAGTACCCCATAAAATAGCCTCTGGAGATCTCTCCCTTAGAGTTTTATTTGACCTTTAACCTTTGACCCGGCACAGACACACACACTGAACATTATATATATAGATTCCAGGGGTCACAGTAGCGCTGGAACTGTGAAGCCCTAGAAAAACAGTATCTTCTCTAAGCTTTCTATGGACACAACACGCTTGTCAGCGTAAAAGTTTGTTTCCAAGGATTTTATGAAATGAAAAATGTCTGACTGTGAGAATGTTGGAGTGCATGGGGGAATGTATCAGTTAGGAAGGAGTCCACCTGATGGATGGCTGTAGGGACATGGATATCGAGATCCTCGGAATATGGCGCTATAGCGTATGGAGGTATGAGAGAAAATTTAGGATTCCTAGAATCGCATGAGTTTAACCCAATGGGGAAGGAGCGAAAATGCCATACTTCGGCGTACTTCCTGTACTTCCGGGCTATGTGATAAGTGTGCCTCAGATCTTTTTAGCCATTTCAAGTCTGCTATCGACTTATGTTACGGTATATTAGCCGAAGTCCAGCCTACATAAGTCTATCGGAGAGAAAAGCCCAAATACTTCACGGTGCTTCCAATTTGGAAGTACCGTGAAATATTTGAACTTTAGGGTGAGGTTGACTTAAGTAAGTTGGACTCCGGCTAATATGCCGTAACACAGATCGATAGTAGACTTGAAATATATGATGCGTTCAAAAGGTTGCCGGACTGATTTTATTGAAAAGCAAAAAGTAGCGCTGCTGTATTTGTAGTATTGCCTGTGCGTAGTTCATACAGTCCTCTATCTATAGACATCATAAGCTGAGTTAAATTAAACATATATATGAAAATATAGAAATACATTTTAGGCTAGTGTATATACACTGACGAAAAATTAAAGACTTGAGCACAGTTTTATTGTTTGAAAGGCTAGTTGCCATTCAGTATTGATGACTATATGGTAACAATTTGCAGTAATAATGCTGAATGAATGGAAAAAGATAGAAAGGAAAAATGTCGAAAGGAAAAATAGCGAAGAAAAATATGGACTAATGTCGAAAAGAATAATATAGAAGGGAAAAACGTCGAATGGAAAAAGAACGAAAAGAGAAAATATCGAAAGAGAAATGTAGAAAGGAGAATGAATCGAATGTTGCAGATAGAATGGAAAGGGTATTAGTTATAAGAGGTCGCTTGAATGTGACGATTGAAATAAATCTTTTATGTTTGGCTGATTCTGTTATCTATTTTCAGTCTTATGATGCTGAACAATGCACATGTACACGGTTAACGTAATCGATGATTGTTCGTAATCATTAGTTTGATTTGCATGGATGTACTGTGACTTATGAGCTGTTTCCTATTTGTACTAATAAAAAGTCGCTATTAACAACGAAAAAGAAATAGATTATAAACGAAAGTTTCATTGAAAAGTTTTATTTACATATGGAAAGATAATCAAATGTAAACAAAGTGTTTCTGTTTATTTTAGATAATATGACTACTCATAGGCGGCGGAGCCACGAGGCCTGGGTAGGCACGAGCCTACCCTAGATTGAAGGAGGGTAGGCTTGGGTAGGCTCAGGTAAAGGCCTGGGTAGGCTCAGATAAAGGCTTGGGTAGGCTCGAACCAGTACAGATAAAGGCTTGACTAGGCTCGATTTAATGTAAAAATTTTCCAATATTAGTTAATTTTCATGTTCTTCTGACAGATGACGCGTTATTACAAGGTCAGTCCACATTTTATGTATTACAAACTCGTGCTCAGTGGCATACTGATTGATTTCGTTGACGTCTATATCTGCGTCGAACTCTTTATTTTCAATATAAGATAATTTAACTTTTGTTCTAAAATTCTATTCAAAATAACTTTTGAATTTCTAGTAATTAAAGAACAGTACTCTTCCATAGGCGGCGAAGCCACTAGGCCTGGGTAGGCTCAAGTCTACCCTAGGCTGGCGGAGGGTAAGCTTGAGTAGGCTCAAACTTGGGGCAAACTTTAGTATACTCCCCACTAAACCTGAAATCCATGTCCTGCTCTCCACATCCTTATCGTTCTTTGACCTCATGGCAAAACCTCATCCTACACTCTCACCCTTTGGATTTTTGCCATGAGGCCGAAGAAAGGAAAGAATGTGGAGAGCAGGACATGGATTTCAAGTTTAGTGGAGGACTATACTAAAGTTTGCCTCAAACTTGGACAGATTAAGGCTTTGGTAGGCTCTATTAAATGTAAAGTTTTTCTATTATTGTTTAGTTTTCAAGTTTTTCTGGCAGATAACACATTGTTACAGAGTCAGTGTCAGTCATAGGCGGCGGAGCCATTAGGCCCGAGTAGGCGAAAGCTCATCAATATTTAAGTTCCATAGGCTAAGAGATGCTCAAACATTTGCTTTTCACTCTATCAGATTAACAAACTTGTCTACTGCTTGAAAATTTTTGCTGTCGTCACCAGTAACTGATAATATTTTTAGCAAAAAAAAACCTAAATTTCGTATGACTAAGTGTTCAGCGTACATTGGCAATGAGTTCATTTTATGCTTTTTTCTTACAAATGAAGAAAGACCTTACATGATACTTACAATCATATCTGCTGGACGATGTCCAAAATTCTCTCCTCTCTCTGCAGTTAATCTCAGATGCCAATCAAATATTTTCAACACGCTGAACAATCTCACAATGAGATTCCTTTTCTGTGAGCACTGCTACGTTGTCATAATCCTAGTTTCCAGTAATACAAATCAAAAACTCTTTTCAAGCTGCAGCTCATCAGATACGTTCAAAATCTAATCGACTTCGAGCTTGGATCTGAAATTTGTTTGTTGACCAGAGTCAGATCTGGACCCAGGTACAGGTCCTCGAATTCAGACCTGACGGACTCTAGCTGCACGTAAGAGCCACTTATAACTTGGTTATTACGAGATTACCGTTAAAATTCTTTGGAAAATGTGTAGGATATGCTGATCACCGAAAAATTAATCGAAAAAAATGTAGTATCTTTCAAATAATTATCAGATTGGGAGTTAAAAAATTGCATTGAGAGTACGAGAATTACCAACCTGGTTTCGGATCCAAAAATTTTGCATCCGATAGATCATATTTGAAGGTCACTATTCAATCAAAAACAAAAGTTTAAGTGACTCTTTGAATACAAGTTTTTGCCACAATTTGCAAACTCATCACTGATCTGCACTAATGTTATGCATTAAAAAGTTTGAGTTCGAAATAAACAGTACTAATTGTGTTTTATTTGAATGGCATAGCATAAAAATTACCCTCTCTATTTTTAACCTGTCGGTAAGGCTCCTATAAAAAATATTGAGCCTACCCTAGATTCAAAACGTTCCGCCGCCCCTGTGACTACTGTTTCTAAAACTTTATCTTTCATTTTTTCTCAAAAAGGAAAACCATTATTAGTTATGGACAATTTCGTTTTTAAATTGAATAAAACAACAAATACAAAAAAATATTATCGAAGTGAAAATCCTCAATATACTATGACTTTACATACAGATATAAATGATGTTCTAATAGGAACTAAAGGTGATCATAGTCATCCACCTGAACCTGAATAGATTGAAGTTCGAAAACTGAAACACGTTATCAAAGAACGTGCAAAAAATGAAACTACTCCTGTACCAAAAGTATATGATGAAGAAACAGCGAGATTTTGTCTAACATCATTGGCTGTTGCTATTGTTCCATCACAAAGAGAAATAAGTACTGGAATTTTTGTTCTCCTCTTTCTAAAAGGAATTATTTTTAAAGATAGTTCATTGAATAAAGCAAGACATCTTCAAACACCTGCAATACCAGATTCTCAAATTTTTGATATACCTGATACTTACACGAAAACACTAAAAGGTGAATCATTTCTATGTGTTGATAAATTTATAAAAAGGAGGACCCGTCTGTTACTATTCGCATCACGTGAACAATTAAAGTTGTTATTTGAAAGTCAAATTATTTTGATGCATGGCACTTTTAGTGCCTCACCACTGATATTTGAACAAGTCTATTGTCTATATGCTATTAAATATCAACAATGTAAATATGACTTTATCTTATCAAAAAAACTGTTGTTCTAATGCTTTGTAGGCTTCGTTTGTGTTTTTGTTCTTCTTTCTGACAAAAAAAATCAACATATAAATATTTATTTCGTGAATTACAAAATATCGCTACTGAAATGAATATAAAATTTAGCCCGGTAACTATTATGTCGGATTTTGAACCAGCATTAACGGAGGTTCTTAGTAATGAAGTAAATGCTATATTACTTCTATTCGAATAGAAATAGCTATATGTTAATTTATTTAGTTTCCTAATTGTAAACCCCCCCCCCCCAGAATAAAAGGCCATGGCCTTCTATTATGGAAATTCACATCGCTCTTTTCAGGGTGGCCTTCTATTAGGGGTGGCCTTCTAATAGGACTTTTATGGTAAAAAGTTACAATTTTTTTTTGTTAGTTGCTGATTCTGTTTTTCTAGCTCGACAACTGAAAATTGAAATTTGTTTAGACTTTTTGAGCTAATGCTACCCATGTAGCCGATTTTATGAAATAATGGGCATTGCAATGCATTATTTTACAATAGAAATGCAATGGATGCAATTACATGATAATGCAACCTATTTCATGCATTATAATGCATTATTTTTAATTAATCCATTGCAATACATTGATTTATCAACGCATCATAATGCATTTTTTTTTATAATAATGCATTACAATGCATTGAAAATTTAGGCATTATCCTTCATTTTCAGCATTATTAGAAATAATGCATTGAAATGCATTGAAAAGTCAAAAAATAATTAATTATAATGCATTAATTCATGTTTTTCTTCAAATAATGGAAAATAATGGATCATTTTCCATTATTCATCCATTATCGGCTACATAGGTATTATATTTAATCAACAAATATTAGTATACCTATCCGATGTCTGGCACCACAAATACTTCAAAGAACAAAAAAGTTTTTATATGTATTCAAAAGATATGTAATCGTACCAAAGCAAAAGAATTGAAGCGATCAAATAGGCATATTAAACTTTGTTTTGTTTTGACAGCTTTTGGAAATTGAACATACCTCTTTAAATTTATAGCAAAACCAAACAGGAGTGCGGTGGAGATCATACATGATCTCTCAAAATGCTAAGATATTTATAAAACTAGCACAGAATATTTATGTAATATCCAAACAATTCATTAGAAAGCCATGGCCTTCTAATGTGACTTTTGCAAATATGACTCAGGGGTGGCCTTCTAATGGGGGTGGCCTTCTATTCTGGGGTGGCCTTCTATTCTGGGGGGGAGTTTAGTCATATAGGTTGCTATTTCCACTTCACACAGGCCGTATATCGACACATTCAAAGTCTTGGATTATCTAACGAATATAACAGCAATGAAGATATTCGAAAGATTTGTAGGAAACTCATGGCTCTTCCTCTTTTGCCATTGTCTTTAGTCTTACAAGCTTTTGATGATCTATATGAATTATTTCTCCAAGCACCACCATAAAAGATTGATCTATTGAAACCTTTGTTTCAGTACTTTGAAAATCAATGGATAAAAAAAGTCGATTTAAAACAATGGAATGTATATGGATTAGAAATTCGCACAAACAATAATGCTGAGGGTTTCCACCATTTTTTAGCACTTAGATATTTTATTCAATCTTACATATTTTTAGGTTTTCATAATCGACTGAACTCAAGATTATCTAAAGCTCATCCAAATATTTGGAGCTTTATTAAATGCATTCAGGGAGAAGAAAACAGGTTTAATCATTTGATGATTCAAATGAAAGCCGGTCTTTCAACTCGACCAAAAACTGCTAGAACACAAACTACACAACAAAGACTTGATACTTTATATTCACGATATAACAATAGTGAGATTGATTTGATGAAACTTTTTGATGGACTATCGTATGTCGTGGCTAAAAATATATCATCAAAAAAGAAGTAAACTGTCATCATCTAAAGTTTATTTACATTTGATCTAGATTAATGTTATGAACCTTTCTGTTCTTTCTTTTACTTAATAAATTCTCTTTCAATACGATTCATGATTATTATGAAATATATTTTTCTCTACTCAATATTTTTTTTTCGACGTTTCTCCTTCTCGCTATTTTTCTTTCGACGTTTTTCTATTCGATGATTATCCGTCGACATTTCAAATTTCGATATTTTTCTCTTCGACATATTTTTTTTCTACACTTTTTCCATTTTTTTTCCTTTCTATATTTTTCTTTTCTTCCTTTTTCCATCATACCATAATACTCTGTCATATATTACGATATTTGAATGGGCTCGTCGTTCTAAAGGCTAATAAGAATGATTCTAGATATGATAGACTCATCGTTGACATCATGTTAGAGTATGTGGTATTTTCGTAAACTGACTTTAGTCGTATATAATTGATCACATAAAATACTATGCAGTGTAAATTTAATATGTGAACAATGTCTGGTATTTATCTAGGTGCAATTCAACTTTCTTACATTATCAGTCTTCCAAAATTTTTAATATTCATGTTATTGACATATAGATTATTATCAGTGTATGATAATCCATCTTTACAACACTGATCCCATTCAGAAGCTGCAGTGAGTGATAGAGAATCGATCATCGTAAACTATCACTATACATTC